TATTGTTGCATAGTTAGCATTCCACTTCATCCTAAAAGCAGTGGCAAAAAAACTAAGGATATATTTGCACAGGAGCTTTTTTTTTGGTAAGGCATACATTTTTCTGTAATGATTTCCTACTCCCCTAAATCTCCTCTTTCTCCATATCCAAACATGTTGGCAAAAGGAAGCTGCTGTGTTTTTTGTTGGATTTGAATACTAAGGCAGTAATCTTAAGCATGATCACCTGGATGCAATCTCCACTGAAATACACTGGATTTCTAGTAAGCCATATTGCAAAAAATGATTAACAAACAGTATGTGCCAGCTCATCAACATCCTTCCTAAACTGCACTGCCCAGAACTGACACAATATTCCAGGTGAGGATGGATCAAAGGAGAACACAGGGAGAATCCTGATACCCTTCATCAGGACGCGGTACTTCCGTTCATGCAACAGACTATTTGCTCCCTCCCCGTCCGCACTTCATCACATTACTGAGTCACGTTTAGCTTCTGGTCTACCAAATCCACTTGATTCTTTTCATAGGTACATACTACTGTTGAGACTGGTATCGCCCACCTTCACTCTGTGCATCCGATTCTTTTCCTCCTCTCCCAAAATGTAAAATGTCACATTTTGTTTTGGCCCACACCTGTTACGGTCACCTTGAAGCCTAATTCTGTCCTCTTAAGTATTAGCTACCTTTCCCAGTTCTGTGTTGTCTGTAAATATGAAAGGAATTCTATTCCCACTTGCGTCAATGTCTTCGTTGAGTAACAGCAAGCCCAAGACAGAACCCTGTGGTACTCTTCCTCTTGTTAAAGACTGGTATCGTCCACCCTCACTCTGTGCATCCGATTCTTTTCCTCCTCTCCCAAAATGTAAAATGTCACATTTTGTTTTGGCCCACACCTGTTACGGTCACCTTGAAGCCTAATTCTGTCCTCTTAAGTATTAGCTACCTTTCCCAGTTCTGTGTTGTCTGTAAATATGAAAGGAATTCTATTCCCACTTGCGTCAATGTCTTCGTTGAGTAACAGCAAGCCCAAGACAGAACCCTGTGGTACTCTTCCTCTTGTTAATTCTCTCCAGGGTCTTGGTGGGTATGGTCTATTAACCAGTTACAAATGTACCTAAGGGTCATTTAACTTGCTTAGATTTTACAAGGAGGCCTGAAGTAGGGTGAGCGACTGCAGTCACAAATAGGAAAGAGAATTCATCTCACTATTTGCCAAGATTTTAGTCGAGACAAACCGTATGGGTACAGCAGAAGGATTCTTCAAACTTTTTGAGACAGTTCTGTTCCAGCAAGAGATCAAGACACTTAATGATTCCTTCCCGCCACACAGTGGTACAGTTTTCCCAATTTGCACAAAATATAATTTGCCCAAAATTCCTGTTACTGCACAAAAGCAGTGCCTTTTCTCTTTGTGAAGCTCAGGGCATGCATACAGCAAGTACAAGAGGACAGGGTGGCTCACTGCTAGCTCCCCTCTGGTGCCCCATCCTCTTTTGATCCTGGATTGTGCTGTGGACCATGGTGGTGGTGGTGTCTCTGTTGATGAAAAGGCCTTCCCTAGTTCTCTCTCTATGAGCTGGCAGCATTTGACAGCTCAATAATCCTCGGTAAAATAGCAACATGGGATCAGAATCAGCCTATGCATGACAAACAGACTTCCAACACAATAAATTAGCAATTCCCAGTCTTAACAACTCCTCCTGGACTAATTGCCAGAGATTATTGTATATTATGAGAGCGCGATGATACTAATGCCTAAATATGCTTCAGTGATTATGGTGCTATCTTCAATAACCAAGATGTTTAAATGTCAGAGCAGAGAAAGCTCTTTAGTAGGAGATGAACTGTTATTTTCAAAATGGGCCAGAAGAAACTAATCAACCCTTTCAGGGATGTTACTCTGAAACAACATGTTACTATTCTTATTCTTTTTGCTATTAGATAAATGCATAAAAAGGCTTAGCAGGGCCCTTTATCTGTGTTTAATCTTGTGAACTGGGTGGCGAGAAGGCCTCATAATGTCTCACTACGCTGAAAACAACAATTGTTCACATGTCTGCCCTGTTCATATACAAAAAGTCTTTGTGTATACAGTGGTGCCTCGCATAGCGAGGTTAATCCGTTCCGGATTAACCTTCGCTATGTGAAAACTTCGCTAAGCGGAAAGTAAAAAGCCATTGGAATGCATTAAACATCGTTTAATGCGTTCCAAATCGGCACAAAACTCACCGTTTAGCGAAGTTTCCAGGGTCCGGCAGCCATTTTCGCGCCCTCGGTAAGCGAGGGGAGGGCGCGAAAACGCTGCGTGTGGCCATTTTGGGCATCCGGCGGCCATTTTGGAGCCGCCGAACAGCTGATTTTCGGGCGTCACAAAGCGAAGATCGGTAAGCGAAACGCTTACCAATCTTCGCTATGCGAGTTTCGCCCATTGGGGGCGGCCCTATGCCTCCGCATTAGTGATCCCAGAAAAGGGATCGCTATGCGGATTCGTCGCTATACGAGGCGCTCGTTAAGCGAGGCACCACTGTATTTACACGGACTGCAAGGAGAACAAACCTATCCATTCTAAAGGAAATCAACCCTGAGTGCTCACTGGAAGGACAGATCTTGAAGCTGAGGCTCCAGCACTTTGGCCATCTCATGAGAAGAGAAGACTCCCTGGAAAAGACCCTAATGTTGGGAAACTGTGAAGGCAAGAAGAGAAGGGGACGGCAGAGGACGAGATGGTTGGACAGTCTCATCGAAACGACCAACATGAATTTGACCCAACTCTGGGAGGCAGTGGAAGGCAGGAGGGCCTGGAGTGCTCTGGTCCATGGGGTCACGAAGAGTCGGACATGACTAAACGACTAAACAACAACATGCACACACACAGGTGTTTAATATCTGATGGTGCTATAAAGCTGAAGGGAGAGAAAACCTAACCTAGGTACTCCACCACCACCCCCGACCAACAGTATGTCAATCCAACTCCTTTCCTTTAGCCCAGCTCAATAATGCAGGTGAATCAAATAGGAAGAACAGCACCTAAAAGATGAGAAAGTGCCTAGTTCTAATCCTTCAAGTACTTGCACACCCACCCATCCCGGATGGATGTAACCCCACACTTAAGGATGTATGGATGTGGAGTGATCTGCAGAGGATTTCTTTTCCCATCATCATCTATGGTGGACTTTAGTCCATCCTTTCCTGTCCTTCCCCCCCCCTTTTGTGCATGTTCAGCAATACTGCCACAGAGCCAGCAGCTGGCATTCATTTTTCATTGTACATTGAAGCTAAAGCACAGGCAGCATTTTAAAAATGGCCTGAAAAACTTAAAATTACTGTCCCAATTAAGAAAAACATGCTTGCTCATTACGAAAGCATTTTGTTTGCTTGGTGAAGAAATATAACACACAACAAAGTAAAAGTGCATGATTGTTGCATTTTATTTTTTATCAAATCTCCTCAGATCTCACCACTAAAGGAGAGTGTGTATGAGCGGCAGTCATTAAGTCAATTTCAATTGAAAATTAATGACACCAACATAATGTGCTGTAAAACAGAAGTTAACAGAATGAGTGTGAATGAAATGAAAATATCAAACATTAGATCTTGCAGAATAATGGGAGGGTGCCGCACAGCTACATTTACAAGCTAATTTACATTTACAAAAGACTATTGCTGTTTTTGTGGATTGTTGTAAATCTTTCAGCATTACAACACACTTTAAAAGGAGGATGAAACTCAACCCGGACTCTTTCATTGATTTGTAAATTGTTTGGTTTTTTAAAAACCACTGACCACATCATCAACTCTTAACCCCTGGTCAGCCAGCAGCTGACCCATATCTAAATATGATCAAAAGAGGCTTGGCTAATCATGGGTTTTTAGTCATTCTAGTGCCATTTCACATTACAGCACAATGAAATTTTAACACATGAGAACAGCTGTAGTCCATGTTCATACCTACACACTCTTATATGGAAAAGTTCTCAAACAAACAAAAATCTGCGGAGAGATTTATACCTACCATCTTACATACACACTTCAGAGATGAACAAAAAACAGGATAGATGCATGGACTGAAACATTTTGTTCCCTTTCTTTTCCTGGGCAGACTAAACTACTCAAATAACTCTGCTGAAGATGTAGAGAGTTAGAGGCTAATCTTAAGAACATGTACTGGAACTGTTAAATGATCGTTGGGTTTGGAAATGATAATAAGCAAAGGGCCTCATGTGAGGTTCATGGAGTCTCAATTGCTTATTTGGCTCTTGCTTCTGTTCCAGCTCAGCGCCTGCTACATAAGAGATATGCAAATTCTGTGATAATTGACACTACGCTCTCGCAAGTCCTGCTCTATGAGGCGCAAATGTCTAGGCTACTTATTTCAAGAGACCGAGGTACATATAACAGGAATACTTTCCACACATAGTTAGTTGGATATGAAATGTCTGTTATGCCTTGGCTTTGCAAATACTGTCCCGCGTCATAACAATGACTGCGATCACGTGGGAATCTGGCTCTTTGCTTAGTTGACTTATACTCCCTCTCAGTCCTGCTGCTTCCTGAGTTTTTCCTTCTCTTTTTCCTTATTCTGTATTGCTCAGTGCATAAAAACAGAAAGCTGGAAATTCCATAAAGCCACAAGACTCTGACAACGGGCAGATAATTCAATTATGAGAAGTCTGCTTTTCTTCCTGATCGTTACGTACTATCCAAATTAAGGACGTATCTATTTTTGAGAACCTTAAAAAGTTTTCTTTGAATGTTGTCTTTCTTTTCCTTAACTTCTATTATCCACGGTTGTAATAAAAACCAGGTAATTATTTAGCGAAGGAAACAACATATAACCTGGCTGCATTGGGTAGAATGTAGAATATTATGACCCTTTCTCCACCCATCCTTAGGCAGAAGTGTGAAATGGAATAAAAAGATTAACAAGTCCCTCCAAATTGCTCATTGCTAAATTAAAAGTATTAAATGAAGAGAAAAGCAGCAATATCTCAGGCTTACCATATATCCTGGCCCACACGTGCACCGCCCTGTAATGCTGTCACAATCTGCTCCATTCTGGCAGCGGCAGGCAAACTGGCACCCCTCGCCGTAGTATCCAGGAGGACAGGTTTCGTTGCAATAGAGTCCTGCCCAGCCCGCCTCGCAGTTGCATTCTCCCGACAGAGGGTGGCAGCTGGCAAAAAGAGGTTCTGGTAAGAAGTGCCAGTTAGGAAGGGAAGAAACCGCGAAAGACTTCGGTTTTCTGAACAATAGCATTTCCAAGCATGAACAGTTAGATAAAATGTTTACAGGACTGGATGTCTACCCTCCATGCTCATGCTTGAGCGCACGGAATGTTCACAAACATTTCTAGGGACAGATGACCATGGCACAGTGCTGATTGTTTTTCTAGGCAAAACCTCACACAGGACCTCAGGAGGGAGAAGAAAGGCTTTATGGTGTTCACTGGAAGAAGAGGGGAAAACAGCAGTATATCGTTATAGGAAGGCAGAAGGTGGTAGGGAGACCAAAATAGTACAGATAAAGAAAAAGGAGGTTATAGAAGCATGGGTCTGAAAGAAAGTTGGGTTTGACAGAGATAGGATAGAACGTATGATGACACCCCATTATCTCTCTGACTTGACCTACTTAGAACATGGAATCCCCAGCTCTGTACTTGGCTGCCCCTTGTGGTGTGGTGGTAGAACTGCAGCTCAATGTACTTTCTTAAAAGGGATGTAAATCTTTGCTAATTTCATTTGTGCAAGTGAAAACAAAAGATTCAGAAAGCTTTCTCTCTCCTGGGTGAGATTACAGCAGTTTTGGCACATTCTTCTCATTTTGTTACTTTCTGGGCCAAAACAAAACAAAACAGACCAAAAGAAACCACACCACATTGAAGTGATGTTTGTGCAAAACCTAGCATTCTGTGCAAAAATGCAATTTTAATATACAAAACTGAGATTATTGGTGGTTCCCACCACTTCTTTTTTGGCTAATGCTTCTGTTGATTAAAATAAGCCTTGGCCTTTTCACTAACACACCAAAGAGTGAAAAATCTCACAGAAGTGGCCAAGGGGAATCTTGAAGCACCAAAACAACCTTTTTCATTGAGAATATTTCCTAGTATTTGTTACATTTGTAGAGGGAAAGTTCTCATGCTGTAGATTGCTCTATCCAAATACAATGTTGTTGGGCTCACTCTACGAAGCAAGAGGAGCAGCAAACCTTGGCTGGTTTGGAAGCCCGGCATTCTGGAAAGTCTGGGGTTGCTCTCTCTGGCTCTGCTTTGTTAGGGAAGAGGATAGAGGAAGTTGCCTCATACTGACTCAGACCATTGACCTGTTTAACCCAACATTTTAAACTCTGACTGGCAGCCACGACTCTGCAGGGTTTCAGGATAGTTTGTCTCTCCAGAAGCAGTCAAGAAACCAGAAGTAGGGTGGGGGGAAAGAACACAAAACTTGGATGTTAACTCCCAGGAGAGACAAAAAGGGCTGTTACTGGGCCTCATGGAGACTTGAGGAAGAGTGAAACTGTATATTCTCTCTCTCCTTCCTGAACCTTAATCCGTTTGCTTTATAAGTATCAGAACCTCTGTGCATCACGTAGTGCCACATATAGCAGCACTTATTATTATTTTTCTTGGAATGTAGTGTTTAACTCTCTTTCCTACACACAATACATGTGTGTTGCCATCTCCTTAAACTTAGACAGACCATCTGCAATTCTTACCAGACACAATGCAAGTGTTTATAGTACTTCAGAGTATTCTTTTTGTATATTTTAATGCCTATTTTTTACATTTGGGCACATATCCATGCACATTTGCACAACAAGGTATGCTTTTTTGCAGAGTGGTGTGGGATTCTGCTTGGGCAACAATGGGCCTCCCGGGCCCATCCAACTCCGACCCTGTTTTACTCCCTAGACAACGTTAGGTCTGTTCAGGATGGCACTGATTCCTAGTTGGGCTCCCACTGGCCACCACAGTCCCAAGATTCCAGATCATGGCGCCCTCTGCCTATGGTTTAGCCCTGACACTTTTTGTGTGTTTCCTTTATACCCCCAAGACAGACAAACCATGTCCAAGTAGCTTAGTCAAAATGGATTCCCTTGGAAAGTAAGGCAGAAGTATGATGTGGCATCCTTGTCAAAATAAAACATTTGACTGGCACTGCTTTTACGGGCTCCTCTTTTGTTTTGTCACTAGCAGAAGAGATTAGCACCGAATGTTGTGACTAAAAATTACCAAGTTTTGTAGCTGTCATATGCTTCTTCAGAGTATTCTAATTAAAACAATTCATCAGTTTAATAATAATAATAAAATAAACCCCACAAAACACCAGGTTTCCAGTTGACAAAGTGCTCCTTGAAATCATATGCTGCTTGGCTCACACCTCTTAACATTTAGATGAAAAGTAATAAAAATGCTGGCATTCTCCACACCCACATCTATTAATCTTCATGTAACGGGAACAGAAAGCTAAACAGCAAAGGAAGAGTTGAGTTTCCCTCATTTAGCATTTGTCCTCCTAGTGTGCACAACTGTAGTTTTTTTTTTCCAATTGGCTTTGCATTGGACAGCTAAATTAAATCTTTCCAGACTAATAGATTGTACCCAGCTATCTGAATTGCTGTTACAATTTGGTTGAAAAACGCTACACCTGGCAATAATTTCTAAAGCAAAATGGAGGCTTTTATCAAAATAAAATAAAATAAAAGGTTCTCCTCATGAAATATGGACACTTGATCATCATTAAAAGATTTATCCTTCAAAATGAAAGCTATGTGCAAGGGAGGCTATAGGAAAAATAGAATTAAAATGAGTAGTATGTATTCAGTAAAAGGCTTAAGGGGCATTTTAGAATATCTCATATTTAACATTTCCCTGACTCTGCTTCTGCTAATGTTTTTACTTCTCTCCTATCTCCTTAATCTGTTTCTTACTTTCCCTTGCGCACTTTTATTTCACAAGTGCAAATCTGTTTGTAAGTTTGTATGCCATTTATTCCACAGACCTACATCTTGTTTGGCATTGCCCAATAATCTTGGTTCCAGCAGCAAAAAATGCACTCATTGTTAATATGACAAGGGTGATGCGGAAGCCTACATCTTTTTGCAAAAATACGTGTTCCTAAGGCCAATCACGACAGCAGTCTTCATATGTTGCCAGTCATTTATCGCATGCCTGGCCACATGACTGAGTTTTACTGCACAACATAGTCATATGTGAATGTTTAACTGGCTGCCGAGACAATCACACACACCGTTTCCATGATTTCTGCAGAGGATGCTGGCCTGAGAGTCAAGACTGTTCCTAACTGTGGATTGTGGTCCTGAGTTCTTTTGTTTGGTCCCATTAGAACGCAACAGAATCTTTGGAGCTGGCGCCTTAACGGTTAGGGTTTGGTATGAGGTCATTGACCCCAACCAGACAACCCAGCCGTGATTGTCACAAGGGTATCTTTTGGAGAAGGACAGCTGCCTCTCCGTTGAGGTGCCCTTTTGTTTTGCAACTCTAACGGACTCTGGAAGAGTTCTCTGAAAAGTCAAACGCTGAAATACCATTAGGGTGAATGGAAAGAACATCTATGGATCTATGCCTGCCGCTATCTCTTTTGTTCCACAGTGGCCAAGATAAGAGTGAGTGGAATGACAGATTTTATCAACTAAGAGACTAGACTAATTTATTAAGAGAAGCAGATACCATCTGGAGACAAGAATGCTTCAAGGCAAGACAGCAGAGCACAGACAGACAGGAGGGTAAAATAAACTCAGCAGTGAATAGCAAGCTGGCTGGATCACATGCGCAAGATGCAAGCGTCCTACTGGGACACTAAATGTTGAGAAGGACATTTATCCCATCAGAATTAAAGTCTCCCCGTGCCTCCATCCTTTGAACTTGCCTCCAGATGGAAGCTCTGCCCAGCAATTGTACTTGTAGATGGCAGAGGATGGGGGTGAATGCAAGAATCTGATAATAAAAATAATTTATAAGAACTTCTTGAGCAGATGTATACACCCCATTTGGGGGGCTGGTAGTGAATTTGTGACTGGTATGGCCTTTGGTATACAGACCTCCTGGCTTAGAAATCAAAACATTCCGAGACACCATTTCTACGGCATATTATAGTCCAAGGTATTGATTTGGATGGTGGTGTTTGCTCAGATCTTGCTGGCCCATGGGGCAATCAGAAGTTGATCTGGACCGAGTGATCTCCAGTAGATCTGCAATGAAATGCCCCTCAAGACTCCACCTGAAAACTACTGAAATGGAAGAAGGCTGGAGCATCCTGGAGTGGAAATGTGTGAAACCGCTCTGAGCTCCCTTCTGTTCTGAGACAAATCAGTCAATTAACTAATAACTCCTGCGCTTGGAGACTTTAATACTGAATAGATGTATTTTGCATCAGGCACCTGTTAGTGGATGTTGGGGGTCCTACTTCAAACCAAAGTAAATTCCACAAGCCTGAGGTTTGCCCATGTCTACACTAGTCCATTTACACCGGCACAGTTCTTCTTGGGCTTAAAGTCGCTGGGGTACAAAGAAACGCAGCACACCTGTTGCTCTGCTCCTGGTTCTCAAAGCAAAAGCCAATTCCACACCAATCCCTTCAGATCACCCCTTGGGAAAGGATCTCCCCTCTGAAGGTTCAGAGCTGCACAGTCTGGCTACAGTTGATGTACATCTGAGTTGCAGAGCGGCTTAGGCAGCGACTCTTGGAAAATATCTCAAGAGCCCCCAAGCTCCTTCCAAGAGCAACTTCAACCTTCCCAAAGAAGTCAGCTTGCATTAGCGTCTGCACCACACCTCCAAGGGCAGGGGTGGGCAATTAATTTCTGTAGGGGGGGGCACATAAAAAAATCTGAACTGTGTTCGTGGGCCGAACCAACTTTACTTAAAAATAAAATATAACACTGATGTTATGATTGTTTAATTTTAAACTTGTTAATTTTCACAAATACTATTGATTGATTGAGTGATTGATTGATTGATTGCATTTATACCCTGCCTCTCTAGTCAAACGACCACTCTAGGCGGCTTCCAACATATATAACAACATATAAAATATAACAAACTTTTTAACCATCAATAGACTAATTATTCAAGATGGAAAAAGAGAAAAAAAGAGGTTTTTTTGTGGTGTGTTAAAATAAACAACTGATCAACTTTAGACCAAAAGCTATAAATGTTTCTGATGTTCAAAACTGTCCGCACTTTTCCCAGGTCTGTCCAAGGGGAAAGGAAAAGGCATGTGTCCCCCCCCCCCCAAAAAAAACAGATCAAGATCTCCTAAGGGGAAAACCTCCAGTCAATCAGGATGAAGCAATTCTGGGCTGGCCTGTTCCAAAGGGAAGTTTGCCTCGCAAACGCATTGCAAAGAAGCACGCAGGCAAGAAAAGACTTGAGCCGCGCAGTTTGCATGCATAAGCTGAAGGCCAGAACGTTTCCATTTTAGCAGTCTGTGAACAGATGATCAGCCAGTGTCAGCAAGAAAGTCAGGTTCGTCTTACTTTAAATTTTAGAAATGGCTTCAGGGCACATTTACCGAGGCATCAATTATCCCCTCTTTCTTATAGAGAAAGTCAATCCCGCAATCGATCATGCATATTTATTCATGAGAGGAGGGTGTTAAAATTAGGAACTGGTGCCCTAAATGACTCCTTTTTTATTTTATTCAGTAGCATACCCCTCTATATCTTTTTGTTTGCCTCCCAGGTGAAATCTGTCAATTTCAAACATATTGAGTAGAAAGCTAGAAAAAGATGTGATAAATTAAACTTGCTTTGCTTTAGGTGGGGCAGAGTGAGCTTGTGACTACTAAGCGAAAGTGTAAAGGACAGCCAGTTGCAAAGGAAGAGAGGAAATGCTCCTGCATCTTTGGGAACGCAGTAACGCTTATCTTAAACAGACAGAACATCAGGGTCCGCCAACCAGCAGCTTTCTGGAACAAGGGCCTCCCTGCCTATCTGACTGTTTTTAAATGACAATACCAGGAATTGACCTTTCGGGTACAAAGTGTGGGGTTTAAGTAGAGGAGAGATTTTTAGCAATGTGCTTCTTTCCCCTGTATGCTTCTGCCGAAATTCCATCTGCCACATAACTATCAGATTAACTTTTATAACATCCTTACATGATGGGGGAAAGGAAAGGACTAAAAGAGGAACAAGAGGAAAAAGCAGTCAAGAGCATAGACATGTTTAAAGCTTCATGTGATCAGAAAAAAAGGGAGAAATGAGACGGGGGAGGGGAGGGGAAGAAGGAGAGAGAGAGAGAGAGAGAGAGAGAAGGGGTGGTTCACCTCTGCTGTGGGGTCTCAGTGCAATTACTTCCAATGGAGTAACAGAAGAATTTTATGTCACGTTAAAAACCACCAGGTTTTATTTGCACAAGCTTTCACAAACTGTAGCCTGATTCACTTACAGCCCATGAAAAATTCTAAATAAAATTTGTCAGCCTTTAAGATGTCCCAAGACTTTGTTGTTATTTGCTGCAGCAGAATAACATAGCTGCCCTTCCTGGGACATTTTAAAGCCTTTCCATTTAATATCTCCCCGTGGTTCAAGAGGCACCCATCATCAACCGGGGGGGGGCAGGGGGTCGCACATTGTGTGCCTACTTACTCCACCGAGCACTCTCTCTCCCCCCTTAGCCACATTCAACAAAACCATTCCACGTGCACAGTTACTTGTGCAGGGTTCAGAAGGATATCCGTGCAGCAGGTGGGGATCACCAGATTTGCGCAAAGAAAGCCTCTCTGTGTTACCTATTTTCCTCTCCCCCATTTCAGCTAAGGAAAGCGTTCAGATTTAAGTCGCCTTCCCACCTCTGAAAGGAAACACAAGACACCTACCTGACCGTGTTTGCAGTATGACAAGGACATCTTCTGTTGCATTTTAGCCCATAATATCCTTCCGGGCACATCCGCTCCTGACAATGAAGGCCTTTGAAGCCCGGGTCACAGAGGCATGCCCCATCAACGTGGTAGCACTTCGCTCGGTTTTCACAGTCACACTTCTGTGTGCATTGGAAGCCAAACGTTCCCACAGGGCACTCCTCTTGACACCTGTAGAGAAGAAGCAGCAGCAACGACAGCAGCTCAGTACGACTGCAGAGACTTTGTAAGAGTCCAGTCAGGTTTACCAGTGCTAAACCTGCTCAAAGGCGCACAGCATAGTGGTAGAGCACATACACACACACACACACACCCTGCTGGCTGCAGAAAGTTCAACTCCAGCATCTCAAGGTGGGCCTGGGAAAGAGCCCTGCTTCAAATGCTGCCAGCCAGTGTAGACAAGGCTGAACTAGAAGGACGAAAGGTCTGATCGGTCATAAGGCAGATCAGGCTTCCTTCCCCCGACGGCAGTGCCACACGCTCCTCTGAAAAGCCAGCTGGAGAGTCCAGAGGTGCACCTGGTCTGGCGTTCTGATCCTACAGTGGCCGAGGGATTACGGAAACACTGGCTGGTTCTTTCTAACTGGCAATCTCTCACCAAATTGTTTCTCCCACAACGCAGTGGATCTTAACCGGTGACCCCTGATAACTCGTTGGGGAGTTTCATCCTTGCAAATTCCTACATAAAATAAACTCCATAAAACAATTCCTATATAAAATGACTCCATTTCATATAAATATGCAAATCCAAATTTAGCTACCTCCCAGATTTTATATTTCTTTAAATTCTACTGTGTGGTTTCTGGCAATTGAATAAATCAAGAACACACATTTTGGTAACCTGGAATGAACTACAGGAGAACAATCTCCACTGTTATATTTTCTTGCAGGCACTATTTGTTGTGCCACTAAAATAATAATAAAGGGTATGAGAAAATGACCTGTGTCCACACTACTGCAGTCAGAGGAAGTAATTCCAGCATCCCTAATTTGAAAAGGCATTTTACAGACTCCCAGAAAGGATCTCTAGTTAACACGACTTTGATTTTTTTTGAGCCTGGCAGTATCCTACGGGTCGCGTATCATATCTCTGTGAGCATGATCTGCCAAGAAGGACCACTATACCATATGATTAATAAAGTCTTATCATGTTGGTAGCAGGGACTGGAACTTGCCCAATCAGCATTAGTTTAATCCCGCCACTGATTAAAATGTTTACTGTAACCACCACGGAGAGAGGAGATTGTTCAATGCCTTTTTGTGGGTCATTTTGCAGACAGCCCTGGAGAAAGTTAAAATACGATGATCAGGGAGAGAAGATTTATTCAAGCAACCCGCGACTGAAGAAGAAGGGAAAGTGGAATTGGCTGTTGTGAAAGAGCTAATAGTTCAAATTGCTGTGACATGTTTCCAGAAACCAAGCAGACGGATGTGAGGTTATTGGTGCAATCGTGCTTTGTACTATTAAGTCCAAGACATTTATAATTAACCTCTAAACTCTACTTCCCTTTTTGTGTATCCAATACAGCCATGAGCTGGTCTATGCATGATACACTAATCTCCTTACCATATAGTACTCCAGAAAGTAGGGGCATTGGGAAAAGCCTTGAAAGTAGAAAGCTGGTCTAAGGGCCTGTTCTTGCTGCCGGAAATAATCAGCAGAGGAATGTTGTTGTTTTTTAATGTGGGCTGCAGTCACATGGACTTTAGCCCAAATCCTAGACTTTTGTGGTGGTGTGTGCTTCCTCACCTTGCCACTGCCACTACCTCGGAGGGCTCCCTGCCGCCACTACCTCCGTCTCCGTATCCTATCACGTAGGGCTGATGGGGTGATGGCGGTGGTGGAGAGAATGGAAAGGGAGGGGGAAGGAAAAGGGAACGGGGTCAGAGTGAGAGAGTGTGGGGGAGCAGGTGCTTTCGGGGTGGGCGAGGCAGGCAAGGGGGAAGGGAGAGAGGGAGGGAGGTGTTGCCAGCGAATGACGGGGGGGGCAGGCAAAGGGGCTCCAGCTTTTTTAGCAAGTCGGGTCCTCTCTTTTTTTTAAAAAAAAAATTCCTTCTTTCTGGTAGCAAGAATCGTTAAAAAGCAGATAGGGTCTTCACATATGTGGAATCATTTCCAGTGAATCAATTCCACATCCACCCCAAAATAAATGGACCGCTGGCAGGGGAGCAGAAAAAACCATTCCCCCGGCACAGGGCTGCGTGCGTGTGGACACTAAAATTGAAATCATTTTTTAAAAAAGGAACACTTGGTACAACAGGAGGAGGTTTTGTCAGTGAGACTGAACCACAAGACAAGAATTTAATCTTCCTGATAAGCTACTTTTCTACATGCAGGGAGACTTTACATTTTGATGAAGGGAATGCTATGACCCATACAGTTTACTTGAAGTTTAAAGTGGTACAATCTTAGAAGGCCAGTACCGTGTGCTTTTCCATAACCCATAGCTTAGAAATGACTTTTTTCTACTGTATCCCAAGAAGCTCAATCATATTGCCTTCAGCCACACCAGGGTAAAACCTGTAGGCCATTTTCACAAGGACCCAAGAACAAACGCAGCTGATGGATTTGCGCTTCCTTCTTTAACAAACCGGGTCTTCCTGGTTAAATTTCACCACGTGTCCTTTCAATCTTTTCTGACAGGATGCGGCTGTTGCTCGCCTGGCCGCGGAAGTGCACACAGCTTTATAGCAAAAATGAAAGATGAATGGCAGATTATTTCCCCTGCCATGCTGCTATTACAAATGTCTATTATGCCCCATTCTCTGAACAGTTGGCAACTCTTTCTGGCAGGCCTGAAATCATGCTGAGATGTTAGGGGAGTTTGCTTTCCAAGAGCCGTCTGCCGGCTTAAGTGGAAAAGTACAATACTCAACAAGATGAATAGGTAGTCAATACCCCACTATATCATCCTATATTTATAGGAGATGAAGCACGATAGAGCAGAGTGAAAGAGCATCTAGAAATGAAACATCAATGACCTAATCCATTTACATAATTAGCCACCCTCTCCCTTTTGCCCTCCACATCTCTCTGCTAACAGTTTAGCTAACCTATTTATTGTGGGGCGCAGGCAATCACTTTGTGTGAATTTTACGCAACAAGAAACCAATAATGGCTCCTTGGGAGCATGAGGATCACCAGCGTAGGAAATAAGCTCCTAAAGAAACTTCCTCCCTTTCCAAGGTATCAATCTAATAGGCCTGTAACACCATTAACAGCCAGCTACATTGCTCAATTAAATTACACAACAAGCGACGGCAGCCTCATCATGTTTCTTGTTCAATTTTACATCACTTCTTTCTTATCTGGAAAGAGCCACATTACAGCAACTACCTTTGGACTTTAATAAGTGTGCAATTATTTGGGGGTGGGTTAATATACATGCCAGCTGCAGAATTAATAGCCAACAATTTCACAAAATATTAAACATTACAATGCCCTGTTTAGCACACTACTTATACGCAAAAATATTTGTTTGCTCTACAGGTACGATTAAGAATGGATGCATTATGTTGCCAGCCTATTCAATTGACAGCAATGTGCTTTTATTCACGCAAAAAGAACTGAAACAGCACCCGAGGTATCACGGGCAAATAAAATCTTAGGTGATCATACTTTCAGAACCATCATTATAAAAATACTTACTGTAACAAAACAGCCAGGAAAATAAAATTGCTTATTATAATTGTTAGCAAATGTATGGGATTGTACTCACTGTGTAAAGATTCTAATCGCATTGTTCAGCAGAAAGCTGGAAAAAGCACAGCTAAGACATGGTTCCTTAACAACTAATAGATTGGATTTCCTACCCGGTATTCATACTGAAGCTGCTGCTTCTATTTAAAGGGGTATATAATCCAAACGTTTTTCTCTGGATACTCAGATTACATAATTTCAGTGAAATACAGAAATTATCTGAAACTATGAACTTGCTGTTTGTCGAGTTATTCAAAATGCAGAACTATATTTTGCTAACTGGAAAGCAAACAATAACCACCAAAAGGTTAATAATTCAACTCCTGCAAGCTTTTTGTGTCTAAGCTATTTCTATCAAATATTTATCTAAAAATACATGTTTTATTATCTCTTTTATGGGACTGCCGGCTAATACAGATTACCTTTCAGGAGTATCAAAAATGGGCTCCGGTAAGGGACTGTTATAACAGCCCGCCTATAAATAGGAACATTTTCTTGATTTATTTAAAGGTCACCAGAATTTTTATTTTGTGCAGGGAGGAGAATCGGGAAGAGAATTGTATTTCAGGCCATCAAACCCTGGGAGCAAAAGGGCCAAAAAATAAAAAAATATAAAAATGGAGTAGCCTGGTTGGCCCCCTTCAGATTGAATGGAAACACATAACAGCTCCAGGAAAGAAAATGGAGGAATTTCTTTGCCCTTTACTGAACTAACAATCCATCATAAGCTGAACCAGCCTTGAAAGCTGAGATTCCAAAGGGCTTTGCTTTACCTAGTAACTAGTTTCAGAAGCCAGGTGTTTTTCGGCTTCAAGTATGTATTCCATTTTAAAAAAACAACAGGTAGATGCCTATGTATCCCTTTCAGCTGCAGTGTGCTTTCCTTGTGTATGAGAGCACTATACATCTCACTGGACATGTGCATGCTTTATCCCCCTCTGGCTAGCCCATGGCAAGCAGGGAAATGATGGCAGCTTTCATTTATTACCAGGACATCTTTGGATGCTTATGGAAGACAGGGATTTAATTCTATAGCAGAAAGAAGCAGGACTGTAACTTAGAGCAGTGGTCCTCAACCTTGGGGCCTCCAGATGTTCTTGGACTTCAACTCCCAGAAATCCTGGCCAGCAGAGGTGGTGGTGAAGGCTTCTGTGAGTTGTAGTCCAAGAACATCTGGAGGCCCAAGGTTGGGGAAAACAGACTTAGAGGACACTGAAATCTGGAAATGAATCTACCAGTGAATGTAGAGCATATAAACCCCAGTCTTTCCCAGACTTATGAACTTTTTGAAAAAAAAAAGAGCAGAAATCTGCTCTTTATAATTTTTTGGTGGGTCTTTCCCAAACTTATGAACTTTTTTGGGGGGAAAAAGAGCAGAAATCTGCTCTTTATAATTTTTTGATAGATGAGGGGTGCATTCTGCTCTGCTTTTCTTCTTAGGGTCTCCTGCCCATGACTGAGGCCATGTGGG